TTTTTTAAACATTATATCATATCCGCACGCGAAGTGCAGAAAGACGACTAGTTTATATAGTTTTTGATCCTTTAATTTATCCTAATTTAATGTTACTACGCTACATCACCATTCAGATCTAATGATAGCACTAATAATAATAATGATGATACTAATAATACTTGTAATATTTAACGCATCTTATTTGCTTAATCAATTCTAATTCTAGATAAACAATTTGTCAAAAATCCGACAGTGTCTCTTCTAAAATAGGATGACCTACCTGTTCAATAAACAAAAGAATTTAATAGATAATCACAACCCATCCATCGGGCAAATTGATCTCAATCACATCCCATCCTCGACTAATTCGTTCACTATTCAACACCACTATCATCATCATTCATTAAATACCGTTATAACACTTATCTGTATACATATTCGTATTTCTCATTTATTAACTCATACTCAAGTTTAATCAAGCTAAAACACATTCTTTTATCCTAAATCCAAATTCTCAACACAACTATGTTCCTTAGTAATTCCAAACTATTAATTAATCTTTACATGTAAACTAATTATAATGTTTAAAATGGAGATTATAACCTAATGAGAATTTAACAATTCAAGTTGAAAATTTGCAATTAAATTAGAATTAGAAGTTTATTGCTCATCGGTCAAGATATGGCCTATACCATCGTGATATACGCGAAGAGTCGGAGATTCTGCCTCTTGGGCTCTCGCTGGAGAGTCGTTGGCCAATCGCTAGACCATGCATGATGGTTGAAAAATCAAACTGCACCCAAAATTGACAGGTCATACATCATTTTGTTCGTTTCGACGAGAGGATCACTAATATGTGATCAAATTAAGGTGTGTGCGAACCGTTTGGCCCTAAATAGGATGGAAAGGTCTGATCAGTCACCAGGACGGGTTTTTCGACTCCGATTATAAAAATTATCAAGGAGGCTATTAAATGAAAGAGGAAAGAGAGGGGAGCAAATTAGTACTACCGTCGTGTTTCGATCTTGCCGGAAACGATGTGAATTGCCGAAAAATAGTACTATGACAGTACTGAATATTTTAGCTCGTGATATCTCTTGATATAGGATCTTATTGTGTGAACCAAGGCTTGATCAAGCTTCCTTGTATTGAGTACATCAATTAAGAGTGCTCGTTCGTCGGAAATAATGGAGATTTAGTCAGAAAACGAGAAGGGAAGGGAGAGATGGGTTCGGCAATCGGGAGGAGGAAAATAGGAAGGGCGATGAAATTTTCTCTCTCCTCCTAATTGGTTATAAGCCGCGGTTCAGTCCATTCTCAATTGGTTTGGTCTGAATTAGGTTTTTCTTTGGTTTTAATGATTTGAGTCCGATTCTTAATGATTTGAAGCTGGGTTTTGATTTACTTCTTTGGTTCAGTTTAATGGAAAGGAATATGACATCATTTAAAATAATGCCTAATTAAACTAAATCTAGAAGCTTGTAAAAATAAAAATTCGGGCTATATCACTTAGGAACATAAAACAAGTCATTACTTCCAAATACTATATGGCAAATAATAATACAACTTGTGAATCACGAAAATGCCACTTGTCAATCACTTGAAAATGCTTGAAAAAATTTGATATATATACACACTAGCTACGTGCTTGGACTATGTGCAAATAATTAAAAAATATTAGTTTTTTAATATTTAATTTAAATTTTATGTGAATTTTTAAAAATATATTAAATATCTATATAATTGATATATATATAATTTATACTGTAATATTTGTTTTTAATATTTAATTTTTTAAAATTTGCAAAGTTCAAATTTAATTTAATAAATATAATTAAATATTTGTAAATTATAATAACCAGTACATATGGCCATATATAGATACAAACTTTTTGGACCTAAATTTGCTACAAAATCCAGGTCCAAGCTAAAATAAAATGCCTGTAATAAATCATCTTTCATCATCTTCCTTTCCAGCTAGTGGAAGTTGTGATCCTGTGCACTCTGTGCAACTCTTACAAAGTGGAGCTCCACTGTATTGGGCATGTAGAAAATTAGCAGCAATACTCTTGAAATTCGTAAATTAAAATCGCAAGAAATTTCCATTATATGTACCACATCATTCATTAGAGTTTCTCCGTATCCTTTAGAACATATCACTACAATTATATGAAGGAAGACTTGATTAAATTTAATCTTTTTATTTGTTTGATAATACTACAATTATTATTCGAGATCAATTTTCAGTATAGCCTCTTGGACCATCAAACCACATCACATCTTTAAAATCCAATCTAAAATATTCCGAATTATAAGCTCGATAGAATGTAACCAATGTATCTGTATATATCTCAACTTTTGGAGCATTACAGTTTGATGATTTTCGTTAACAATTACCATTTCTTCACAAAATGAATTACATAGTGAGCTCATATGATCTCTTGAAATATTACCAAAGCCAACTTGAGGACTCGGAGTATTTGGAAGACCATATATTTTTCCACCCCATTCTATGTATGTAGCGGAATCTGCCAATCCTGTGAAAATCTTTTGTGGCCGCCATCCAACTTGGATATTGTACTCTGATTCGTATTTTAATTTGAAAAATCCAATCTCCATTAGCTGCATCCTATAAATATATCATCACATATGAGAAAAAAAAAATTGTGTAATGTAAGGCTAAAATACTTGAAAATGTAAGATTGAAGTTCAAGACAATAACTTACTTTGTAAACAAAGAAGCATTCACCAAATGTTGGTCCACCTTTTGGATTTTACAAGCTAGTAAACATTCCAGCTCCATAGTACTTTCCATTTGACAAACAACCACCTTCAAACTGTTTCATACATTAATTACTAGACTAGTCAGATTTCAGCAAATTCTTATTGGGTTTATGCAATGGTAAGAGGGTAATAATGCAAATGTGGACATAAACTTACATGAACACCGAGTTTAGCAGCGTTTTGAGGATTCAAATTGGAAGCATATAGTTCTGCAGCTAATTTGGCTCTGATGATATACTCTTGAATAACTCTTTTGATTGGAACTGTACCAGTTGGACAACCTTTACCGTTTTGCCATGTGCCTAATTTAGGTTTCAAGACTGACGAAGAATTGCTTTGCCTACTTCCTGTGTTGGATAGGAAGTATGTTTAGCAACTCTTATTTCAATCCTAAAATATTACCAAATATTTAATTTAGATTAAAGAATGAAGAAGATTTAAAAGAAAGAAAGAAAAAGAAAAAAAAACTGAAAATGATAGGAGCGATTCTAGAGTGAAGGATGATAAAATGTAGATTGTTTGTAGAAGTCTATACAATCATATGTATCTCCATATGTTGTCTGCATGTATGAAATATCAATAAGACACAATATTATGATATAAATCAATTATAAAAAAAGGGTTAATTTCTGACGAAAATGGTTTCCACTGTTGGCTTAGTAAGACGTTTAAGCTCCTCCTCCAAACCTAAATCCTCTTCTGCTGACAGTCTTCTGCCTATGACTTCGTTTCATCTTTGTGATAGGGACCACAAAAACAAAGTTATTAGAGCAACCATCAGAGCCATAATTATAAGAAACGAGATGGTTTAGGTTTATTTGTTGATGAAGATGAATGATAATGATATATAAAAAAAGGCGTTATTTTCGACGAAAAACATGGTTTTCCCACTTTCTGGCTAGTAAGGACGTTTAAGCTCCCTCCTCCAAACCTAAAAATCCTCTTCTGCTGACATCTTCATGCCTATGACTTTCGTTTCATCTTTTGTGCATTAGGGACCACAAAAACAAAGTTTAATTAGAGCAACCATCAGAAGCCATAATCTTAAGAACGTTTAGGTTTATTTGTTTGATGAAGACTGCAATCGCATAATCATATATATATATAATATATATATATTATATATATATATATGATATATTATATATATGGATGTAGAATCAGGTTCATATATATATGGATGTAGAATAGGTTCATTCTTGGTAGGAAAAAAAAGATCTGAACGTAATATTTGCTAAAGCAATAAAATTGAATAAAATGCAAATAAGTGATAACGGCAACTATTGTTATAAAGTTTAGTTTTGCATCAATGAAATTTGGATTTGTCATATAATGACAAGATTCAATTTTTCCAAATTTGGATTTGTCATATAATGAAGTTTAGTTTTACATTCTTATATAATAGCCTCATTCATGTAGTTTTTGTTCCAAATGCGTTCTTATATAAAATTTTTCCTCACATAACATAAAATAAATTGCAATTCATATAGTTTACGTGGTTTTTATCTAAGCTGATTTTTATATGGTTTCTTTCAAACAGTATGAAACTGAAACATTTGGTGATCGTATGGAGTTTATTGGTTATAATGACAGCACGAGCTAAAGACTTTAATGCACTAGAACCAAAATAATGGGGGAATCCAATTATTTGGATTGGCATTACCATAGGTCTTTTTATAGGGTTATCTTTAGTTATATCATATTTTTTGATTAGGCATTGTTTCACTAACCAAGGGAACAACCCCATTATCCAACCTAACATAGAACTTGTACCAATAAATGTATTTGAAAGATATCATATTCATAAACTTGTACATAAATGTATTTGAAAGATATCATATTCATAAACTTGTACCAATAAATGTATTTGAAAGATATCATATTCATCCCTTTCATGGAGAAGGAGACCAATTAGATTGTTCTATTTGCCTGTACTCATTAGAGGATGGGCAAGATGTAGAAACACTTCCAGTGTGTCAGCATGTGTACCATTCACACTGTATAAGAGATCACGGAAGAAAGGGCGTGGCAGCTACTAGATGTCCAGAGTGTCGTGAAGACTCTACAAATGTTATGAATTAGCTAACTAAATCCATTGTATAATACTCTTAAATAATTTTAATTATAAGGTCATCTATTTTTAATTCTCCAATGTTTTTTAATGCCAACAATAGCTATTGAAATATGTGAAATTAACAAGACAAGCAATTTCCATTATAATTTTTAAGTAAGACTTCGTTAAATTTAATATTTATTTATTTATTTAATAATACTACAATTATTTTGGAGATCAATTTCCAGTATAGCCTCCTGGACCACCAAACCACATCACATGTTTGAAATCTGATCTAACGTATCCCGAGTCATAAGCGTCATAAAATGTAATTGGAATATCTGTATATGTCTCAACTTTTGGAGCGTTCACAGTTTGATGATGTTCATCAACAATTACCATTTCTGCACAAAATGAATTATACAGTGAGCTCATATGATTACTTAGATTACTCCCAGAGCCCATTTGAGGACTCCGAATATTTGGAGGACTGTACACTTCTCCACCCCATTCTATGTATGTAGCTTGATAGCTGAATCTCCAATCTTTGTGAAAATTTTTTGCGCCACCATGTGAAAATTTTTTGCGGCCACCATCCAACTTGGGTACTGAACTCTGATCCGAATTCAATTTGAAAAATCCAATCTCCATTAGCTGCATCCTGTACATAAGAGAAAAAAAATTGTGTAATGTTAGGCTAAAATACTTTGAAAATGTAAGATTGAAGTTCAAGACAATAGCTTACTTTGTAAGCAAAGAAGTGTTCGCCAACTGTTGGTCCACCTTTTCTAGAAAGTCTAGGGAAAGCAAAATCAAGAGGTATATCTGGTCTATTAAGTATAAATCCACTGCAAAAAGTATTGAAGCAGTGACTGTTTCCAGCCTATTATGAGACAAAATAATACCAAAATAGTTGTTAATACAGAATAATTAGAATTAAAATAATTTAATACCAAACACATAAGACTTACATTTGTGTATAAAAATAGGCGAGTACGAGTATCTCCATACACTATAGGATTGACCTGAAAATAATATAATATTATAATAAATTGATGGTGATAGTTTAAAACTAGTTGAACATGATAAAATGAAATTTATATTTAGAAAAAGAAATGGAATCTGGTTAACTTACGGTCCACCCAAATATAAGACTATCAGGACCATTTTGGATTTTAATTTGACTTGAACTGTACTGGGATTTAATATCAACCAATTTCGGATTATACAAGCTACTACTCATTCCAGCTCCATAGTACTTCCCATTTGACAAACGACCACCTGCAAACTGTTTGATGGATTAATTACTAGACTAATCAGATTTCAGCAAATTCTGATTTGGTAACAATGCAAATATGTGTACGTAACCTTACATGAACACCAGGTTTATCAGCATTTTGAGGATTCAAATTGGAAGCATATAGTTCTGCAGCTAATTTGGCTCTGATGAGATCTTTTGAGGATTCAAATTGGAAGCATATAGTTCTGCAGCTAATTTGGCTCTGATGAGATCGTCTTTAGTAACTCTCTTGATTGGAACTGTACCAGTTGGACAACCTTTACCGTTTTGCCATATGTCTAATTTAGGTTTCAAGACTGACGAAGAATTGCTTTGCCTTCTTCTTGTTGGATAAGAAGTAGGTTTCATCTGTAATGTTTCAATCCTTAAATATTACTGAATATTTAATTTAAATTAAAGAATGAAGAAGATTTAAAAGAAAAAAAAAACCTGAAAATGATAGGAGTGATTCTTGAGTAAAGGATGATCAAAAGCAGGTTGTTTGTAGAAATCCACACAATCATATGTATCTCCATATGTTGTCTGCATGTATGAAAATATCAATAAAACAGAATATTATGAGATAAATCAATTATAAAAAAGGGTTAATTTCTGACAAGAATGGTTTCCACTGCTGGCTTCGTAAGATGTTTAAGCTGCTCCTCCAATTCTAAATCCTCTTCTGCTGATAGTCTTCTGGCTATGACTGCGTTCCATTTTTGCGATAGGCACCACAAAAACAAAATTATTACACCAACCTTCAAAGCCATAATTATAAGAAACTAGATGGTTTATGTTATTTGCTGATGAAGATGAATGATAATGATTTATATATATATATATAGATGTAGAATAGGTTCATTTTTGGTAGGAAAAAAAGAAGATCCGAACGTAATATTTGCGAAAGCAATAGAATTGAATAAATGCAAATAAGTGATAATGCCAACTATTGTTATAAAGTTTAATTTTGCATCAATGGAATTTGGATTTTGTCATATAATGACAAGATTCAATTCCTTTTTAAGTTGTGCATAAAAGGAATGAGAATCATACGAGTAATAGTATGAGATAATTACTCCATCGGTTCCAAAATTACTTGTGACATTTCAAGATACAAGCTGGCATGTAGAAAGTTTCTTAGTTTTTTGACGTTTAGGCATGTAGAAGATACACTCGTGGTTGGTGGCTGGATTAATGTGTGATAATGTTTAAGCGCCTTCTCTAATTTTAAGTCCTCTTCTGTCGATAACGTTCCTCCTATACATGTTGGTGATGAATACCATAAAAACAAAATTACTAGTGCAACCTTTAAAGCCATGAATTCTAAGGAACTAGATGCTATGTTTATGTGTTGACGGACATAAAAGGTAATGATTTTATATGAATGTAGAATAGATAATTTTTGGCAGGGAGACACGTTTTGTTGGCTATTTCTTAATTTGCTAATTAATAATAATGTTCAATTTTTCTAAAAGGGTAATAATATTTAATAAATGGAAACGAGAATGGTAATCATCGTGGATAAAATTTGATTTTTGCATTAATGTAATTTGGATAAACTTTTTTGTTTTTAGGGAAAATTTGGATAAGTTTTTGCCAATTAATAATTGCAATTTAGGGTGTAAACGAGACGAGATGAGCTCCAACCTGTCAAGCTTGAAGAAATTGAAACATTATAAATTTTAATAATTAAGGAAATTGATGATATCATTAATATTTTTTAAAAAAAATAAGTAATTCATTAATATTTTTTAAATTTATTTTCCAGTTTAAAAATTTCCTTTTCTTCTATTCTATATAAATTTTTATATCCATATGTATATCTATAAATTTAAAGGCAATATCATTAATTTAAAATTAATACCAACATTAATATCTCTAGTGATATTTTGCTTTTATATCTTGAATTAATAAAACAATAAATATATTTTCTATCATTTTGATACATTTTGACGTTTTTCTTTTTGTTACGACACTTTTAGAAAATTAAAATACTCTGAAATATTTTATTTCAACTTTGTTACGACACTTTTAGAAAATTAAAATACTCTGAAATATTTTATTTCAACTTTACTCCGATCCATATATCTCCCTCAAACTTTATCAATTTTAATTACAAGTAAAAGGTAATTTAGTTAATTATTTTTATTTTTTCTATAATTGAGATAGTTAAATCATTTTTTAAATTCTTCAGTTAAAAAGCATTAAAATTAAGGGAACAAAGACAATAATATTGAATAAAATAAATAACGATATGTCAATGTTGATAGAGTTTGCAAATTTAAATTTATGATAAAATGAAAAACAAAAACATTCTTTTGCTAATTGTGCATAAAAGCCAAATATTTACAACTAATATTGCACTGAGATGATTTTGCTAATAACCTCCTACTCTATTTAATAGGCTGACCTTAACTTAGCTATGGAAATTCTCACACTTATAGAATAAACTATATTCTATATTAGTCGTGAATTTGCGCTTCGCATGCAGGATTCATAAGTTGTTTAAGTAATCATTATTATTGAAATATGAGTATTATTATTAGTTATTTTATTAAAATATTCATTCTTTACTTTGAATTGTTTCAGAAATCTCTTCTTAATTTCCTTTTTATTTGATTAATTATTAAATAAACATATTTTTTAAAAACGAAAAATAACAAAATAATTTATAAAAATTCATATTTAACGATATATAGTATTATTTTTTATATTAATAATATATAATTAATATGACAAATTTAAAAGTCATAATTATTACTACTAAAAAACAAAAATAGAATATAAAAAAAGAATCGCTGTATACATATAAACTCCTCACATAATTTCTGGTTAATAATAATTGAAGGTATATAGTTGTTCTCTTCATAATTAATATTTAATGATAACAACTATAAATGGGCAAGAAATATTTTTGGGCCAGAAAAGTAATGCAAAAAAGTTTAAGCTTCCCTTTATGTTGCATGTAGGCAGTTTTCATCCACATTACAGAAGGCAGACTGTACTATCAAATGATGTAGATATCCAAACTAAAAGGGCACCTAGATCAAGAGAGTTGGGATGCCAGCCCCATCACCTTCAAGTGCATGCCGATTATGAATATTGGCCAATAGATAAATAAGCAAATCCATGAAACTAACAAATCCAGTGATTAAATTGTTTGTATAATGTTCAATTTAACATGACAGGGAAGGAGGAACAAACAGAAAAGGAGATGAAAAAGAAGATATATCACAAATTTCACAATTATACCCCAAATGGAAAAACATAAATTACCGGGTATGATGGATCTTGCACCGCCGTTGTGACATTAGATCCAAAAAGAATCTGTATTAAGATCCAAAAAAGAATCTGTCAAATAAAATTAAAATCAAGAAATTAACCAAATATGTCAAAACAAAATATGAAACCAAAACAAAAAACAAAATATGAAACCAAACAAAGCAAAATCTTCCAAAACAAAAATAACAAACCTGCAGGCAGGATATGTCACATTTTGCACCATCAGAGACAAATATATCATCTTCCTGAATGCCAAGGTCTCCATAAAATGTTGAAGCAATTGCAGCATGTGCTATGTTGTTGTTTCTGCCTCTATAAGAATGCTTGATTGTAGTTGGACTTCCAATCTAGAAATTATCAATCACCTAAAGGTTTATAAAGCAGCTAGTTCTCAAGATTTCAACATACTTTTTCAACTTGTTCAGCTCCATAACCACTGTAATCCTCAAGAGTGTAACCCTCAAGAGTGGACAATGATTCTGATCTCTGTAGAAAGGGAAATCAATTTATTAGTGAAGAATAAATGCAGGAGAACAAAATTTTTAGTTATAGGCTGCAACTATAGATGAAAAAAAAGAAACATATAGATATATATAGATATATATATATATAGATAGACAGAGGCAGATATATTTATATTTATATAAATATAGATAAGAAAGCTACGCTTTAGACCTTCTCTTTGTGTATATATATAGCCTCAACTTGATAATCTGTAAATTTAATAATTTTTTCACTAGTAAAATTTTGGATTTATGATAAATGACAACATAACATTCTATTTGAGATGTACATAAAAGGAATATATATCATTGATGAATTTGGCATTACGTCAAATATTCATCTTGATTTTTTTCTAAATTCATTCATGCATAAAACTTTTCCTCGTGAAACAGTTCGACAAAAGAATTTTAATGGAAAAAATGCAACTTTTTAGACGGGATTTTAGCCATTCATGCAACTTATTCATTCATGCATAAAACATTGCATAAAAGAATTTTAGTCTTTTGATGTAAAATTAACGGAAAAAATCCAACTTTTTAGATGAAATGACTATATAGTTAAATAGAACCATACCTCAAGGACATCATAATGATTTTACCAAAATACATAGAAGAAGTCGTTAATTTGGTCAAATATTAGAGATTAAATAGTAATTTTCCCTTTATCTCACGCATTATTTAGTACAATTATTTTAACTTTAAAATGGTTCCATAATGTTTTATGAAAACTAATATGTCAATTAGAAAATTTAAACAACAGTTATATATAGAATAATTTTAAACACACAGTTATATATAATTATATATCTCATAATCAACTTATTTACTATCTATATAGTACATGTTAATTAGTAGGAATATATGTTAATTAGAGGATTTAGGGTAATTTGATCATTTTATTAAAAATTAATAGAAAAATATGTGTTTTTTGGATGGAAGGATCAAATAATATGACGGAAGTGAACCTCAGGAATGTTATAAATAATTATATATATGTCGGGGACTACTTATATAATGAAAACTTATAAAGGATAATTTCGTCTTTTCCTCTCAAAAATTAACAGAAAGAGTTTGTTTTTTGGACGGAATGACCAATTAATAAGACGGAAATAAACCTCAGAGATGTTATAAATATTTGTATAAATGTCGGAGAATACTTAAATAATTATGGCAAACCTCAGGGACGAAACAATTGTTTTCCCTTTTTTTTTTTAGCATTTTACCTATCTCTTCCTAATTTTTTAATATGTATATTCAAGATTATCACAAGTCCCTTATTTTGACTTTCCTAATCTTAAATCACTTATCCTAATATCGTATGTGTTACATATGTTAATTTAAGTTCATTACAAGCCTTGTGCTAAGCAATTCTCATAAATTCTAATTACCGAAAATAAGGCTAGTTAATCTCATCATTTAGGTTTGTGATACCGAAAATCTAGCAGCATATCCCCTAAAAATAGAGTTATCTATCTGCTAAAACAATAGCGACATTCAATATTATCTAATCAATTTACACAACCCATTCATCCGGTGAAATAACTCAATAAGCCCATCCTACATCATTTCAACGTCAAACAATTGTTAATTGCAGTTACATCAAAATTATGCTGTTACCAAACCCTTGCAAGTATATTCCCGTTATACCCATGGTCCTAAGTCCAAGTCACCAGTAATTGAGTTGTTGAATTAGTCAGCAGTAGTTATTCTCTTTCTGTTTTGATTCTGTTTCAACATTCCTGCATTGTAGGAGGGTATTCCTCCGTTTCCCTATTTTCTTGTTGTTAGTGGGAGGTTATTTTTCCCTATTTTCTTGTTGTTAGTGGGAGGTTATTCCTCCATATAGAAGTAGTGCTCCTTGTATGTAGGGAGTAGTTATTTCTACACTTGTATATATTCAGCAAATCTGATGGAATAAGGCAGACTGTTAAAACCCAATTTAAGTCTTCTTGACTGAGGTTTCAGGCTCCCCTTTAACGAGTCTGACTTTTCTTGTCTTCCACCATAGGTCGCTCAAGGAAACACCCTAACCCAAACACCCAAACACCAACCCCTCCTACTACCCATCGACCCATAATTAGATCCGTTAGCCGGGACCATAACAGTTTGGTATCAGAGCCAACAGTTATGGGAGATTCTGTTCAAGACTAGCTGGCTAAGCTCTTTAACTTGTTATTAGCTGCGCAACAATCCAACAAGGAACTGCATGCCAAATTCGATGCTCTAACTCAGGAATGGGAATCCACTAAAAAGGATTTCCAAACCAGTAGCGCTGGAAGTCCAGCAAGCTTACGGAGAGATAAGGGAATTTTGGGTACTGCAAATTCTGAAAAAGCTGGAGGAAGCTTGTTTGTACCGAAATTCACAAAACTGGATTTTCCTCGCTATGATGGGAAAGATGACCCTTTAGGATGGCTAAACCGTTGCAAACACTTCTTTCGGCACCAACAAACTCCGGAAGAAGAGATGGTCAGTTTAGCTTCATACCATCTCGAAGGAATTGCTTCATACCATCTCGAAGGATTTGCCAACTTTGGTACATGCAGTTGCTGGATGACATTCCGAATCCCTCTTGGGCTGAGTTTTTCTCACCAAATGTTAACCTCCGTTTTTGGGGTAACCTCCGTTTTGGGCCTCCAATCCGCAGCAACAAACTTGGTGAATTAGCTAAACTGAAGCAAACGAGGTCTATCGCGGACTACCAGAATCAGTTTGAGACTCTTGTGTCCCGGGCTGGAACTCTCACTCAACACCAGAAGGTCCAATTATACCTCAGTGATTTACAAGACTCCATTGCGGTTGAAGTGGAGCTTCACCATCCCACTGATTTGGTTAATGCTATGAGCATTTCTCAGCTGTATGAATGCAAACTGTTTCCACGTTCTTCAGCTGCGAGAGATACTAGTCGCGCTGCAATTCCACCTGACAACCGCGCCAATCGGACAGTGAGGAGGCTGTCGCATGATGAAATGGAGGAGAGGCAGAAGAAAGGACTCTGTTTTAATTGTGATGAGCAGTTTGTTCGAGGCCATCAATGTAAGAAATTGTTCTGGATTGATTTGGAAGAGACGGAAGATGTAGAGGATTTCACAGCTGATCCAAAAATTTCTTTGAATGCCATTACTAGAATTCGAAATCCTCAGTCCATGAGGTTGATAGGTAGCTGGATGCTTGGGCAAGTCTTAATCCTCATCGACTTTGGTAGCACTCACAGTTTTGTTTCTGCCGCAAAGGTTGAGGAACTGAATGCTGTGGTAAACAAACAGAATGGTTTAAAGGACACATTGCCAATGGCGAGCAACTTACTAGCCCAGGTATTTGTAAGGGAATTTCGATTCTTCTGAAGTCTAATTCTTTCATGGTTGATTTGTTTGTTTTACCCTTAACCAATTTCGATATGGTTTGGGGGTTAATTGGCTTCGAACCTTGGGACCCATTCTGTGGGATTTCACCGTTATGAGCATGAGCTTTTATCAACAGGGCCACTTAGTGAAATTGCAGGGTATTACTTCTTCAAGCTCTTCCCACGGTTCAAATCTGAACAATAGGCAGATTTCATCTGTTCCAGACATCCAACTCCAGAAATTATTGGCGAAATTTGCTTCCTTATTCAATGCTCCTACTGGGCTACCCCCTAGCAGATCTTGTGATCATCGTATTCCCCTAATCCCTGGAGCTGGTCCTGTGGTAGTTCAACCGTACCGTTACCCTCATGGTCAGAAGGACGACCTCATGGTCAGAAGGACGAGATTGAAAAGCAATGCGCTGCAATGTTACAGCAGGGAATCATCCGTCCCAGCCGTTCCCCATTCTCGTCGCCGGTGATTTTGGTTCCCAAAGCTGATGGTTCCTGGCACCTTTGTGTTGATTACAGAGAATTAAACACCAAAACCATCAAAGACAAATTCCCTATTCCGGTTATCGATGAATTATTGGAGGAATTAGGTGGAGCTAAGTTCTTCTCAAAGTTAGATCTGCTTTCGGGTTGCTTTCAGGTGGGGATGCATCCTGCTGATATTGAGAAAACAGCATTCCGCACTCACCACGGACACTTTGAATTCTTGGTGATGCCATTTGGATTATCCAACTCTCCCTCAACTTTTCAGGCCCTAATGAACGAGGTATTCCAATTTTACTTACGGAAATTTGTACTCGTCTTTTTTGACGATATTTTAGTTTTCAGTCAATCCTGGGCAGAACACATCCACCATTTGCGGCTGGTTTTCCAATTGCTGTTACCAATTGCTGTTACAGAACCAATTGGTCCTTAAACGGTCGAAGTGTGTCTTCGGTCAATCTCAGATTTCCTATTTGGGTCATATTATTTCTTCCCAAGGAGTGCAGGTGGATCAGTCCAAAATTGCTACTGTATTGGAATGGCCAAAGCCCAACACCATTCGTGGGTTGCGTGGATTCCTATTTAGGTCATATTCATTGTCGCCCCCCTCACTGCTATGCTGCATAAAAACAACTTCCACTGGACTGATCACGCTATCGATTCATTTCAGAAGTTAAAGGCGGCCTTGACATCTACTCCAATCCTGATTCTACCGAATTTTGATCTAACTTTTGTTATAGAATGTGACGCTTCTAGTACAGGGATTGGAGCAGTCTTGTTACAACATAACCAGCCAGTCACATATTTCAGCCGTTCCTTGGCAGCTCATCATCAAAATCTTTCGGCTTATGAGCGAGAATTGATTGGCTTAGTGAAGGCAATAAAGCATTGGCATTCCTATCTGTGGGGACGTGAATTTATTGTTCGGACCAATCATTACACATTGAAATATTTGCTTGAGCAGCACCATCTCTCAGCAACTCAACAACATTGGATTAGCAAGCTCCTGGGTTTTTTTTTTACTGTTGAATACAGGACTGGCAAATCTAATCTGGTGGCAGACGCTCTTTCTCGACGGAATGCTGATGATTCAATCCTTATGGCTGTTTCCATGCCTCAACTCAGTTTGTTTGATGAAATTCGGAAGGAACATAGTGATTCACCAGCAATTCAGCAACAAATCTCTACAATTACCAATGGAGCAGTCGCTTCAAATGGGTTTTTCGGGATGGGTTACTCTTCTATAATAACAGAGTTTACCTGCCTTCCGATTCCCCATCAATTCAGCTGGTCGTTAGTGCTCTTCACAACCAAAGTCATGAAGGTTACCAGAAGACATTATACAGAATCACTAGAGATTTCTATTAGCAAGGGATGAAACAATTCGTAAGGGATTTTGTGCGTTCTTGTGATGTATGTCAGCGGCATAAAACTGACACACTACAACCAGCGGGACTCCTTCAACCTTTGCCCGTTCCCACTCAAATTTGGGCTGATATCTCCATTGACTTCATAGAAGGCATTCCCACTTCACGCGGAAAGAATGTTTTTGTAACATCCCTTCCCGGTCCACCCGTTAACCCGAATGAACCGAGCCGAGACGCTACAATCTGGTTGAACTTATATCCTGTCATGCAACGACTAGTTGTAACCGTCCCTTCGACTGAAGGGTGCGACCCCTGTGTTTAACCCGGCTTAGTTATGAAGCACAGAGCCGAGACGCTCTTACATCTGGCTTGGAAGAAACTTTGTACTCCCATAGTCATGGCTGAGTATTGCACCCTTGTAAGTGCGAGATTATGAAATATAAAACATTCCCAATTAAAAATATTCATGGGACTTCCTCGAATATCGTAACCAAGTACTAATCCTCATCATATATAATACCACATACAATCAACCTTTAATATAGGTAATATTTTTACTATAGAAACTGAATATGGTAGAAATCCTACACTATAGCATTCAGCAAATTGCAGATTTCCAGATGAGGTTACTTCAATTTGATCCGATAGTACTCAAGTCTTCATGAAGCCCTAAGATTCAATAGACGCAACTATGAGAGTAAAAAATATGGAGGTTACAATTCATTCAAGTTCCGCATTTCCCTTCCAAATATACTTTTACTCGCCTTAGCCTAGAATATTACATTGCTTCAACTTTCATTATTTTTCCCTCTATAATACAAGTAGCCTTGCTCCGTAGATCACAACTCATGGAAAAAATTATACATTTTAGCACAATTAAATCTTCGAAATGCGATACATGCCTCATTATGTTCTTAGTTATCTACACACATTCCGTACTTTCCCCGTTCTTCTTTCTCATCTTACAATCTACTATGACCAAGTATGAAGTCCCCACATTCATCTCTGTGTCCTTCTCTCACGCGTTCACTTTTCGTCGCAGTCTTTCATTATCTTATACGAATCAGTACCAACCCACGTATCTTCAAATCCTACGCGTTGATAAAAAATCGATTTTCACGAGTCTTCTCTGCGTATAGGCAAGGGCTATTCATACTGAATTAGAATCATATCGACAGGTCCCATTGTAGTATTAAATCTCTCTCTCATTTCCTCTCTC